CATTCTCTGATTTTCTAATCTGTCTTCAGACAAGTGATGGCACAGAAACCAAAATATATACTGCTTGTATACACAGGCCAGCACCGCTCCCTGATGAGCCAAGAGGAAGCAGGAGATTTATGTTGGCCGGTGAGTTTTGCCTCTCTTGAAGAGGTCAATAAAACTTACAACATGGACTTCAGATGTTGCAGTCATTACATGGCTGGCCTGGCCTGCCACTTCATATGGGGCACAAGTTTTCCATATTAGAGGCCACCTATCATCTGAGGTGCGGGGTGACACAGTCATTAAATGCTCGGGGTTTTGATGCAGCAGAGGCTGTCTCCCACATCAAGAGCCCAGGTTTTCAGCTCTCCTGGGATCACTGTGGGCAGGCAAGGCAGGACCTGAACTAGAGCCATGTGCTGTCCCCGTGGCCCATGACTCACCATAACCCTTGGTACAGGGCCATCAGTTTCTGTGTCCTGGAATGCTCCCTGGTGGGAAATTTCAAAATGATGGAGGATGGGGTACAGTAAAACCCAGGAAGAGCAACAGCCGAAGGGCTTACTAAGGCCCTCTCTGAGGGGGGACAAGAAGAATGCAGTTAATTGCCACGAGAGATTTACAAGCCGCGGAAAACTGTTGTTTTCCAGCAGATTTCTCTCTGCAAGCAATTCCTCTGCAAGCAGGGCTGGGTCAACGGGAACGTGGGTCAAGGGAACACACCTGGCAGAGAGACAAGTGAGCTGGGACAAGAGCACACGTTTATTGTTGCTTACAGAAAAGCTGCCCATCGCCACATTAATTTGGCTCTCTAAAAAAAGCCTGCCAGAACTCACCTTGAGGCAAAGATCACAGTTTCTCAAGAAACGCACGGCTGGGGAAAAGCACCATCACTGAAACATCGAGGGGCAAACACAAGGCCTAGCCAGGAGCGGGGAGCACGATCACAGGCCAGCTACAGCACACACACATCAAGGTTTCAAATAACAATAAATAAAAAGACAAGACCCTACCCAGGAGCCAAATGGAAGTAAATGGAGTCATTCTTAGCCTTGCATCTTTCCTCTCCTTATCTTGGCCAGCCAGCAGCTGCAACACCCAAAAGAGACCCATCAAAACTGAAGCAACGCCACCGAGGAACTAGTGCTCACAGCTGGAAGTGGCTGTCGGACGCAGGCAGCCCCGGTGCTTGGCAAGGGCGGGCCATGACCCACTCCATTCGAACGGTCCACGGAGAAGCTGAAAACCACGAGCAGCAGAGGGTTTCCATGGTGTGATTCTGCCTTCTGGGAGCTACGGACACGGACAGGGAAAATGTAGGCAATAACCATTGGGACAACGTTGTTCCAACCAATGGGAGAAGGGTGGGGAACGAAGCGATCCCCACAGGACACCATAAACCCTTAGTTGCAGCCCCGTGCCCACTCAAGACCGTCTTTTACTTGCTTGGTTTTGGAAACAGGACTGGTGCTGACAGAGTTTTGCTCTGTGGAGCAAGAGCTGGCACGTGTGCTGGATCCCTGCCCTACTCCCGATGGCCTCCTGCCACTTCTTTGACGTTCTCTGCTTCCTTCAGGGAACTGACTGGTGGTATCCACGGGGATGGCAGATCTGGGATACTCTTCTTGCCTTGGCTCAAGTGGTTGATGGCCATGTAGAGACTTCCCCGAGGTGCTGTCTCCTGCTCTGAGTAGTACATCTCGAGGACGGCTGGGCTGCAGTGCTTGTGCTGGGGAGCAGAAGAAGAAAGTAAGAGGAGACAAATAGGAAGAGCCCAGCTGCCTACAGCCACCTCGCGCCCAAGTGGCTCTGGCACGAGTACTTTAGGTGCCCTGGGACCGAGCTCATCCTTTGTGTTCTCCCATGATGGCTCGGGGAACACCCACCACATCCACCAGCACCATGTGGCAACCAGGCTGGCTCCCACCTCCAAGCCTCTGGTATCCCAAACAAGCAAGGATGTCAGCACCCCTGCATGCTCAGCAAGGCTAGGGAAGACCTGGCTGCTCTTGGTGAGAGCACAGGGCTTCCTCCCTCTCCTGTGAGCCCAAAGGAGGAGCTAGCATCATCTCGAAGCCACTGAGGGTCTGCACTCCTCTCCAGGCTGTCTGCACACCCTTGGCAGGTTGAGTGCTCCCTCCTCGGTTCAGCTGTGAGGTTGGGGCAGTTGGTGGTGCCCACAGGAGACCGTGCGAGGCCCACCACTCTCCCAACACTCCTCCTCAAGGGAGTCTTCATAGATGAGGTGTTTGCTGGGGTCTCCAGCTCATTCTCCATGGGCAGAGATGTCCAAGGAAAGCGGAAGCCGCAGCAGTCCTCAAAGCAGCAGCACAAAGCCCTCCAAGCTAGCAGGCTGCAGTGGGAACGGCATTACTCTGCTGGAAAGTGTCCACCGACCCCCAGGCTCACACGTCCTCCTTACCTTGAACACGAAACCCTCGGGGCAGCTCAGCTGGTCGTACCACAGGGCCTTGTACATGACGAGCATGAGCAGGCAGGCGAGGAAGGCCATGGTGATGAGGATGAGCCCCGTGAGCTGCGGGAAAAGAAAGGGAGGGAGCCCTGGAGAGCAGTCAGGGACAAGATAGGAGGAGATGTGGGAGAAGAATTGATCCAGCTGCAAGCGCAGATAGCAACCTGCTACTCTGTCTGGCTCAAATCACTTTGTACCTCGCGAGGCCAAAAATGTACCTGGCTCAGATCTTTTAGCTCTTGGCTGTGATGGTCACTGCATACCTTGCTAGACACATCCAGCTCTTGCTAAATCTCCTCACCTATGTGAGTGGCAGCACACACATGGCACACGAATGTCCTGGAAATTACCAGGAAATACTAAATACCTCTGTCCTGGCTTGCAGTGAAGAGCCTTCCCCTATTTCAGCTCAACAGCTTATTCTCCAGCACTCAAAAGCAACTGCCAGTGCTGGCAGGACAGTGGCTGTTCTCCTCCCTGGAGGAAGGCTGTGGCATCATGAGTTTGCTGCACGCCTGTGGTGGAAGCGCTTGTGGGTGCAGAGAGGGATGGGAATTACCTTGACTTTTTCTGCTACTTCATCGTAGATGTTTACATTCAGCTTTTTAATTCCTGGGATGTATAACTTCCTCTGCTGATGTTGTTGGAGCTTATATTCTGTCCAGGTCTTGACAATCATCTGAAAAGGGGGAAACTAGTGAGAAACATCACTGCCAGGCAGCAGAAGGCAGAGCTACCCAACGAGGACTCACAGAGTAACCCCTGCACTTACGAGATGAGCCTGGGTTTACAGGCTCTGGGGACAAACCTGGGGTGCAAGCGGCAGCTTCTCAACACTGCTTGGCATGCACCAATCCTGGCCCCTGCAGCCCACATTATGCCCTCAGGACTGTGCAATGTGTCTGGCAGGGAATGGAAGAAAGAAGCCACCCCTCTCTCCGTGGCCAAGCAAAGCTGGCCCTGAGGAAGCACACTGGCCGTCACAGGGCACATTTTGTGCCTACCTTGTCCGGGAAGGGCTGCTGCAGCTGGCTGGCATCCAGCGGGGTTATCAAGGGAACGTTATCGAAGTCATCACCGCCTCCACGCCGCTCCTTTTCGGGCTTCTCGGAGACGCTGGCCCCTGGCTTCACCATGGCCCTGGTCTGGTGCTGCAAGGAAAGGAAGAACATGGCTATCAGGTTAAAGAAAAAAAATCAGCTCTATACGCCACTTTTATACGTGTTTTATAGGTGCCCTCTTCTCCTTTCAGATATTCTGCCTCTTCAGAGAAAAGCTGCCGTACCTGGGTGTTCAAAGCAGTGTGGATCTCCACACTTAACAACTTCAACCAAGATGGAAAAGCCCCTTTGCAGGCTGAGACTAAGTCTCCCAAGGGACGCAGAGAGTCACAGTCTCTTGGCTGAGTTCTCAGGGAGCAGAAACCACAGGTTCAAAAGCTGCTGTGTTTGCATCCATCGGTATGGAGCTGCCTGCCTGGGCATCAACACCCTTCCAATGGTAAAAGCAGAGGAAATGAGAAATAAAACCTACCAGGACACACAGCCCATGGCTTCTTTGGGGGTGTTTTCACCTCCTTGGGGGATCTCAAGTTCCTCTACGAGGACTTAAACTGTGCAGTGTTAAGCAAGATGGACCAGCCTAAGGCCATTAGATACCATCAGACAGCGAGGAGCCATCATTGCAGCATGTAAATATGGGCACAACAGATGCTGTGTCTCAGCCAGGTCTCCTCAAATGAGGAGGAAGATGCCTGAAGTCAGGATCAGCAACTCCCTCAAAACTCCCTCAGCAATTCCCACCACCAGCACAAAAAAAAAAAAAAAAAAGGAATACAAAGGGGCCTGTGATAGCCAGGGCAACCTCCAAGGGCTCCCTGCTGAGGCTGCGAACGCACTGGGGCTTTCGACACTCTAGATCAGGAACGAGTGTGCAGCATCTCCTCCTGCAAAGGATCTAGCCCGTCCTCTCCTTCCTCTGCGGTGGTTTGGGGATGCTCAGAAATCTGTAGGACACCCCCTAGTGAAGAGCTCCTCAAACAGGGGAGGGACAGATCAGGAGCAAAGCAAACCGATCTCTGGTAGCACCCATTCACCCTCGATGCTAACAAAGCTCCTCGCTCAGTCCCAAAACCTGGCTCGGGGAGACGCCTGAGCTTAACGTTTGCCGGGAGTGTTCGGCTGGGCACCCTGCCTCCCTCAGCGCGGCCCCGCAGCCCCCCATCCCCGGCGGGGCCCCGCGGCGCGGAGGGGAGGGGACAAGGAGGCGGCGGTGCCGCAGTGGGCGGGGAAGCGGCCGCCGGGGGAGCCG